TATTTAAGGGATTAAATATTATTACTTTGGTTATATATGTTATTAATTATTGACATAACCGAATAACCAAACCGAAAAAAACCGAACCGAATAGAGGAAAACCAAACCAAACCAAATTTATTTTGGATCGGATTGGGTTACACTTTTACAAAACCAAAAACCGAAAATCCAAACCGAATAGTGTAAAACCAAACCAAAAAACCGAATGCACACCCCTAGGGTGGAGTGAGAAAAATATTTTAAATTTTGGTCTTTTAAAAAATAATTTCTTTTTTTTTAGAATAGGAATACTTTAATCTTTAGTTTTTTACTAATATTAATAGTTTATTATTTAATTTTTGTCAAAGTAGAATATTTATTAATGTGGCAATGTTTTTGCAAATAAAAGACAGGATGTATTATACACGTGTGTTTCTCAAACTAATAAACTAATAAGTGATAGTTTAGATATGAAACTCACAAATGAAACTTTTAAAAAAATATTTTAGGTATGTTGTTGACACTTATCTCTAAAAATAACCATTTGCACACGATTAGGTATAGTTCATAATTACCGAGTTGATATCTCTCAGGAATCACTAGTCCAAATTTCATAAAGTTTGTGTTACAAACATCAATATAAAAAGAAGAAGAGGACAGGTAAAAAATTAAGACTCCTTCAACTTTATATTTTACATAAACTCGTCCGTCAAACTATTAAATCCACATATAAATATGAATATACATAATTGTCTTGGCATATAAAATATATCAATTTGAGACACAAAATGAAATATTCAAAATCATCAATTAGTCCCAAATGAAATTTTGTGTTTGTAGTTGTAAGAAAATAAGGGAGAGGATTAGAACATACCATTGATTCAGTGTTTAGGCGATTGAAAACGAAACGTAGTTCAAAATATATTTTTCACTAAATTAAAACTGTGTCACTCTAATTTTTGAAAATCATTATGAGAACCAGCAACTTCGTTATTAGAAAATATTAACATAAAACCTATCAATAGAAAAGTATAGACAAATTTTTTTCTTAAGAGTCCCATTTTGACAAAGAGTTTCCTTAATTTCTTACTCTAATTCAGAGAGAATGTTGATGAAAAGGTTGAAAGAGTGTAAAGACTATTTATTAAGAAATAGAGATTTAGTCCATCAATAATAAAACAAAAAAAATAAAGTTGATATTGTTATAAATTTTAGGAACAAATACAGATATAGTCAACCAATAGAATAGCACAAAATAAGACTAAGATTGTTATTAAAAAATTAGGAACAAACATAGATATAGTCAACAGAAGAATAGTAAAAATAAAGTTGATATTGTTATTATAAAATTTAGGAACTAAAAGTTAATTATGAATTTATCTGTTTTGAAAATTCTTTTACCGGGTCTTTCTCCTACAAGGCTACAATTGTGATCGGAAAATGTCCTTTATCTCTAAAGTCTAATCTGACTTATTATATAGTTATTTATTACTTTACACTAAATTAGTAAATTATATAAAAGATCAAACAGCACTAGTTTATTAGAGAACAAAATGGAGATAGAGTCGGACAACAGAATAGCAAAGACTAAGAGCCGTTTGGATTGACTTTAAAAAAATAGTTTTTAAGTTAAAAATAAAAAGACAAACTGAAATGATTTTTAAGTCAAAAAATAAAAAATAGAGAGAGACCTACTTTTGGTTTTTGACTTATTTTAAGCCATTTTAAACTTATTTTAAGTCATTCTTGACCTTTCCAACCACTTCTCAACTTATTTTAAGTTATTTTTTATATTTGTCAAACACTTTCAGAAGTCAAAAACTGACTTAAAAGTAGGTTTGACCAACTTTTAAGTCCATCCAAACACCTTCTAAGATTGTTATTATAAAATTTAAACAAAAAGAGATATAGCCGACCTAAAAATGGTAAAAATAAAGGTAATATTGTTATTATTAAATTTACACGTTGTTTGGATGGTTATTACTTATTTAACTTCATAATGTATCGTATTGTATTGTATTGTATTGTGTTGTATTGTATCGTATTGTATTGTTTTAATAAATATCATGTTTGGATAGATTGTATAGTTCTTCGTCGTTACATAATGTCATACATCCACAATTTAAATGATAAACCTACAAGAAACGTAAAGTACGGGATAGAACTACTATGAAAAGGTAAGATAAAAGATTATATATGATTATTAAATAATAAATAAAGACAAAATGAGAAAAAAATAAATTAAGATAACGACACAATCACACCAAATTGGTCTTACATATAAAATGACTTTTTTGTCGTTATCTAACGGTGAATTTAAACGATACGATACAATATAATTTAAGTAACAATCAAAATAAATATTGTACGTATTTAAACTAATAATACAATATAATTTAAATAACAATCCAAATAAACATTGTATTTAAACTAACAATATCATACAATATATCGGCTAACAACCATCCAAACAAGTTAGGATTAAAAATTAATTGTAGATTCATCTATCCTGGAAAAAATTATTTTGCGGAATCTTTCTCCTACAACTGTGACTGAACAATGCATTTTATCTCTTAAAAGTTCAATCTTTTGTTTTTTATATGGTAAAATTTATTAAATATCATATTTTTCAGGAAATCATATTGATTTATCAATTTAGATTGAATTAAATACTTTTCTAAAAAAAATCAAAGAATACCAATTAAAATATTATCTCTGAATTTAGTTAAGCCCGGATGAAAAACCAAAAAAAAAATATAATCTCTAATTCATTGAATTTGTAAATCATACCGCGCATGTGTTCAATAAAATCAATAGTCTTAAAATTAAATTTTAATAAGAGGGCTTAATTATTATTTTTAATCTAATACTTATCAGTTCGTTAGAGAGAAAGACGAATTCCTTTAAATAGTCACAAAATGTGGTTGCCCTCACAATTTTAAAAGAGGAATCCAACCACACATACATGGCGGAGAAAATCACCGGAACGAACCCTAAAACCACCGTACACGGTGTTACAACCAACAACAATTTGGATACGAGAAATGCAGACAGACGTGTATGGTTGATGAAATGCCCTACCGTTGTCTCTCGATTCTTCGAACAGCATCAACACTCTACTTCCGGTGAAACTGATCTCTCTTTTAATTCTCCGAGACCTGTTGCCAAAGTCACCGTCGTCGTTGATCCTCTAATCGCCAATGATTCAACTCAATTTACCATGGAATTAGCCGGAACTTCATCTGGAAACATGCCCACTCACTACTCCATGGATATGTCAACAGATTTTGTTCCAATGTCGATATTTTCTGAATCAGGTCAAGGAAGGGTTTCGGTCGAAGGAAAGATATATCACAAATTTGATATGAAGCCTCATCATGAAAACATTGAGAATTATGGAAAACTTTGTCGTGAGAGGACGAATAAGTACATGACGAAAAGTAGACAAATTCAGGTTATTGATAATGATAATGCTAAACATATGAGGCCTATGCCTGGATTTTTCGCAACTAAGGCTTCTGGATCTGCTGCAGAGAAGAAGAAGGTGCCTAGTAAAGGATTAGAAATGAAAAGAACAAGGAGGGATCGTGACGAAATGGAAGAAATTATGTTCAAACTGTTTGAGAGGCAATCAAATTGGACGTTGAAACAGCTCGTCCATGAGACGGACCAGCCTGAGCAATTTATGAAAGACATGCTCAAACTACTCTGCATTTACAATAATAAGGGCGCTCATCAAGGCACTTATGAGCTGAAGCCGGAGTATAAGAGAACAGAAGACAAGACTGATTCTTGATTATTTTAGCATAAGCTTTCTAGTAGGAGTCAGCCAAGGGAAAACACCGAGTGATTTTTACTTGAAGATAACATTGTTTTGTGTATAAAATCAAGTTTAAATAAAATCATATGGTTGTTATAAATAGTCTATTTGGTATATCTAATCAATTCTATTCTCCTTTTAGATAAATTTTTTTTTGTATAAATCTGATATATAGTGAACGAAACCGATGCTAAAGTAGCTGATTATTCGGGAAGGAGCCAGCTAGCATGCACATGGCTCATTTGATACATATTTTGTGACTGCGTGTAGAACTTTTGCATATGCTAAATGCAGGTGAACAGTCCTCCTATCTGGGTAAACAAGGTTACCATACTGAGCTATAGAATTTTCAATGACAAGTTGATCATCTGTGATCAATTTATCAAGGCCTTCTTCTATCCAAGGAAGCCTCTGTTAGAACAGCAAAGGAAACCAAAAATTTTGTTCTTTAATTAGTAGTAAGAAAGTAGGTATATACTGTGGATAGTAAGTAATTTCACTTGCATTTTATTCAATGAAATAAATTCTGATAAGGTGGTTTTTAATGCTCTGCAGTATTTCACCTCGACCTCTAGTAACCAATTCATTGAGAATTCTCCCAGTGAGTAAAAATTAGTTGTATGGAGTGGAGTGCTTGTGAAAAAGTTGCTTTAGAGCTGGGGTCTTTAATTCTTGTGCTATAAGCGACTGGTATGATTATGGAGGAATTCCAAGAGTTTGTCTATGATAACTTATCATCATATTGCAGCCACTGAAAATTCAGAACAAAATGGTGTATAAGCACGAAGTTGAGAATTTTCATAACACTAATGGGACTAATGAGGTTTTGGATGATGAACATGAAAAAGATGGGAACGAGCTAAAGAGATGGAAGTCACGGTAGATGTGGGAGTTCCATGCAAGTCAATGAGTTAAGCAAACAACATGTTGCTCGATTTGTTTGTCTCATCCCCATTTTGAAGCCCTTGATAGATACTTTGAACACTTCAGTGTTTGAGATGCTAACACATACTTATGCGTGTGTTAAAGCTTGACTTGTTCTGTAATCATATTCGCAGAAATTCTAAAACTCATTACAACGAAGAAGATGGTATTAACAGAATATCTGACTTACCATGTGATGTGATAGATGATATTTTATTCCGTACGTCTATTAAAGAAATAGAAGCTATTAGTGTCTTGTCGAAAACATGGAATCATATAGGCATACACATCCCGGCATTGTGCTTGAGTAACAATTCTATGAGATGATAAACCAAAGCACATTACCTAATGGTTACAAAAACATTGTAAACGAAATCTTCTTGCAACACAATGGCCCTATATTTGAAATGCTACTACTAACTAGTTTCAATCAGCAAGAATATATATATATATATACACACACACACATATATATCACAAAAATACTTTTCTCCATAGATCACAATTTTGCATTCCTCTGCTACACTAATCATCCAACTTATTTTTAAAAAAAAATCAGTTCTTCATGTTCAAGACTTTGATCGATGTCCTTAGTACACATAGTCCTTAGTACACATAGCTCTCACCGGTGTACTTGCCAAGCTGAGCAAGAGAGTTGGCCTTAGCCCTGATTAGCAACTTGTCCTGAGCAGCCTTCACGTTCTCAGGTAGTCCTCTCCATGTCTTCAAGCAAGTGTTTTGAAGCGCCCTAGCATAGGAGAAGGACATGTGCCACGGGGTTGGAGAATGATTCATGGCATTCAAGTTGAAGGTAGCCTCAACTTCTGATTGTCCACCAGATAAAAACTGTTCAAATCCCGACAGCATTAATCTTGTAAGCATGAGTTAAGGTAATAATCTCCTACCTTTTTTATAAGTTACTTTTTTCATCTATTTATAACCTATGCTGGTAGTCTGCCTTATTATCCTGGTAACTTGTTTCACTTATTACGGATCGTTACATCTTTTAAGTGATTTGACAGTGTAAAATCCTTCAAACTAACTGTTTATAGAAGTTAAAACAATTTAGTAATAGCCTAAAATGATGAGGAAACTTGCCATGATTCCAGGTACAGCTGGGGGAATTCTTCTTTGGAGGAGCTTAAGAGTATAATCAGCAACTTGCTCTGGAGTGGCTCTGTCTTTGCATTCAGCACCAGGAGTGACCATACTTCGCTTGAGGAGAATACCCTCAAACATGACATTGTCCTCAGCTACTAGGTAAACAAAAACCTCGGCCCAAACTTTTTGCGCAACCTCAAAAGTCCTGTCAATGCCATGGTCACCATCCAGCAATATTTGTGGCTCTACTATTGGGACCAAACTACTGTCCTGAGAAATGGCTGCGTAGCGAGCCAAACCCCAGGCTGCTTCCTTCACTGCCAATGCAGATGGTCTGTTGGGAATGCTCACTACGGCACGCATAACGTTAAGCACATGATCATCGTCAATAGTCATAAGATAAAAGCATATAGAGAATAACACATCATTTTCTAAAAGTTGTCACCATTTGGCAAAGTGAGCTCCTTGTTGGTAGTAAGCAGCAGTGCGCGAGGCAAGGCCATCGAGACCTTGGCACCATGACTCATCATTTGAACCAGCAAGGGGAACCAAACCCTGTTTTAATCAAATCATAAGATTATTACGAGATCAATTTCATAAAAATTTAGATGAGATCGAACTTTTTTGCTTAATTGGTTACAGAAAAACCAAACCTATTGTTATAAAAGCTAGCTATTGAGGTAGGAGAGCTCAATGCACGACGGGTGATGGTGGGCTCTAATACCATTGTTATAAACCAGGGAGAACCACACTCCAAAAGAAAGCTATTGAGGTGGGAGATCCCAAGGCGATATAAGTCCTACCTCAGCACACAGTAGTACCGATGTGGGACATAACTCCTACTCAAGCTCAGCTGGTAGCCTGGTACCAATCAATTTACTACGCCTCATTATGAAACTAGCTAGTTAGTTTGGTTATGAAGAGAATTTATTACGATTAAAATATTGATTCTAGCTATCAACCTACAACCTTCCTCTTTTATTTGAAAGCGGAGTTTCAAGCCAAACTAGTGTCGGTACGAGTTTATTTGGTTAAATTAGACAAATATACCTTGTCAACTTTGATACCAGCAACAATGTTTTGTTCAACAAGAACATCTACCATTTTTTGGCCATCAGTTGTGGATTGGTAGAGGGTCTCAAATTAATTGTATATTGCCATGTCAATGTACAAAAGTTAAAATCATTATGAGCGCACTGAAACTTACGCACAGCAATCTTAACAAGCTCATCAGCATAGGAAGAAGTTGCACGAATTGTGAGAGAAGAGGTGGATATAGGGTGGCAGTGGATACTGAGGCAGAAGATTGGCGAAGACTTTGCCCCTTAACGAATTCAGACTTGTCATCAACTGGAGATGACTTTAACAGAGATGTTGAGGTCATTTTCTTTGTTCTTTTTTGTTATTTTCTCCTCGAAGGAACAGAACTCTTACTTACTACAAGTACCTTAATGTCATCTCAGTGTTCTCTACAAGTCTATACTTACCACAAACAAATTATTTCTCAAACTGTGTCAAATTAAAGATATCTCATTTGAGGTTGTTATGCTCTGAACAATGTCTATGGGTCACTTTTTCAGAAATATACATAAAAATGTAGTTACTTGGAATCAAACTCTATGACTTTAGACAATTCTACCACTCGACTACACATGCTCTTTAATGAAATATATTCGTCGTTTTTATTTGTACTCTTTGACAGCAATTTTGCCACTTCAAAAACCCCTGTCTGTCTGTTTTTTTAAGAAATAACTAGAAGAGAAACAGAGACTTACGCAAGTCCTGAATTGTCGTGATCCCCACGTCAATATTTGGAATATGGGAAATGTTGGACCACACGGAGTTTGAGCTACTCAATTGGTGCAACTTTCTTCTAACTTTCGGCAGCCTTAAATTTCCAAGTTCTGTAATTTGGTGAGATGTCTCATGGCATCTCTGGATGGAAGAAAAAACACACTCATGATTAAACCATATGCTAAAAGTAATATAGATATTTATAAATTTTGTTTCAAGTGGAACAAAAAAAATGTTTGGAAAACTATAAAAGGATAATGGAGGAGAGTAACTCGTGGAAAATAAAAATTAAAAATGAGACTCAAAAACTGAAAGAGAAACAGAAACTTACTCAAGTTCTGAATTATGCTTCTTGTACCTAGTAACCTATGAGAAGAATCATAAATTTTCATGATTAAACTTTCTTTTAAGGAAGGTAATGTTGTATTCATCAGCATAGACCTCTGAAAATTGGTTCCCAACAAAAACAAAGATAAAAACAGGTAGATTACAAAGTGCCTATAAATTCTAATGAAAATTTACCTAACGTAGTTGCCTGCCGCTCATGGGATTTGGCTTGATTTACCACATTGACGTTCTAGCATGACCTTGGAACTAGTAACCTAGAGGGAAAATAAAACATAAGTTTCATGATTAAATCATATCAAGATATACCATACTTGAAGAATTAGAAGAAGAACAGTTCGATTAAAGTGGACAAGCAGAATGCAGAAAGCATAGGCACAGATGCAATTGATTGATAATTTTTGCATTTTTTAATGTCAAAATAATTGCAGGAAAAAATATTAAATTACATACAAAGCTTTATTTCTGGAACTCGCGGAAAATAACATTTAAAAAATCTACTCATAAAGTGAAAGAGAAACAGACACTTACGTCTATCCTGAATTATCCTTCTGCCTACTTTAATTTTTGGAATATGGGAAATGTTGGACCATTGGGAGTTTGGGCCACTCTGATTTGTGCAACTTTCTTCTAACTTTGGGCAGCCTTTAATTTCTAGGTTCCGTAATTTGGTGAGGCGTTGCATGGCATCTCTAGTTGGCAGATGCTCTAGTTTCTCGCATGTCCATAAAACTAACTCTTGCAAAGAAACAAGGTTGCAGAGCCCATCCGACAAAGCTTCTAACAATGGACAATCCTGGATCCGGAGATGCTGTAATTTGGGCATGGCATCTGAGAAGTCCAGAAGTTGTAGCCGTTTGCACCTCCTTAGCTCTAATGTTTCAAGAGAAGTAAGGTTCTCAAGTCTATGAGGAAGAGCCTCGATTCCGAAATCATATATATGGATTTGTCTTAGGTCAGAGAGTTGCATAAACTGATAGGGAAGAGAATCCCAGAGCAAATATCCGAACACACACAACCTACGAAGGGACAATAGCTGCTGAATGCCATCAAAAATATATTGGAATGCCTCAAAATCCACCATCTCTGAGAAAGGACCAATTTCCAAATTCAGTAACCCAATGAAACGGTGAAGGCCCCCTGTGGGTACACGAATTAATTTGGGACATTGTGATATATTCAAATATGAAAGTGAAGGCATTTCCCCAAAATGTAAAGGGAAGGAAATTAAGTTTTTACAGTTGAAGACCTTCAAAGATTTCAGAGACCGACAATGCTCTAGCATCCCACTTGGTAAACTGGTCAATCCATCACAGTTCCATAACCGAAAACTTTGGAGGGAAGTCAAATAATTCTCTCCAGTGGGAACAGGAAAGGAACTGAAATTGGTACAGAGGTTAATCCTTAAGCTCTTAAGAGAATGGAGATTGTACAAGCTTTGTGGCAATTCTTGAAACTCTCCGCAGTCTGAGACCCATAGGTGTTGAAGTGAAACGTTGTTGCATAGCATCTCATCTGGAAAAAAAGTGAGCTCTTTCACATCATAGACACTAAGCGTTACGAGAGATGTCAAGTTGCTGCACAAGTTCAACAATGGCATTTCACTGTCAACTTCTTCAATTGTTAATTCACGGAGGATTTCAAATTGACTTGGAGTACTTTTTAACAATGGACAGTTACTAATCCTCAACTTCTCAAGCCTAGGAAACATTCTTACTCCAACTTCATCTCCCTTCCACTCAATAAGGCTACGCATATCCTCCAATACTAGTTCTTTCAATGATGGGAACACTTGGATATTGCTGCTTGATCCAATATTGTTACCATCAATACCATAAAATGTAGGTTTGATGCATTCTACCTTATGTAACCCTAACAGCTCAAGATGCTGAAGGAATTTCAGTTAGCCAAGCGATGGAATTTCTTTGCATCTTTTGCAACCACTTAATTTCAAGTTGACCAAATTTGGTAGCAATTCTTCTCTGAACCATAAAGGAAATCTAGTACCTAAATAGTTCTTCACTTCTAAGGTTTTCAAGTTACGATGCGGTTGAAGACCATCCAACACATGCTCATCAATGGTTTCACAGGATTCTGGTTCATCATGGAACCATGCATATGCCAGCTTGTAAATATTTGATTTCTCTTGTAAATATGCTGTTCGCGCTTCTTCTTTACTACGGACTGATTCCAGCTCATTGATTGTCAATTCACCTCTAAGGTTCTTCAAACGGCCTAATTCTTCTATTCGACGACCTTTCTCTAAACCCACATTGAAATATTGTAGGGTCTGAAGACAAGTCAATTGTCCCATGTTAAGTGGCATCTGAGACCGAGAATGGCAATATATGTGTCTCAAACTTATCATATTTCCCATCTCAAATGGAAGTTCACCGAGTGAATAACAGCCATTGACTCTAAATGTTTGCAAATTATAGAGCTCACAAATGGAGTGGGGCAAGGCTGTGATGTTAGTGTCTGAGAGATCAAGATATCTCAAGTATATTAGCTTCCCGACTTTGGCTGACAACTCCTTGATTCCTGAACTGGACAAATTTAAAACTTTCAAGAACTTAAAACTCAACAGCATATCTTCCAATATATAATTGCTTTTCCAAAACAGTGTGCACAAATTTCCTGGCTCATTTATCTTATATATTTGATCACTTGGTGAGTCCCATCCAAAGTATCGCACTTGAGAAAGATTTTCTCCACCATCGCCCTTCGGATCAAATAGTTTAGATTTTAAGATATCTCCAGCCAAATCATGCACAAGCATCTTACAGTGTGTAATATTGTTGTGCTCATCTAACTTAACATCTTGTAGCAAGGAATTTCGCAACAAGAGTTGAAAGAACTTGTTCCCAATGACTTCCATTACGGTGATCTCTTGACATGGATGAAGAAAGCCTTCTGCCATCCAGAGTTGGATTAGTTGGTCCTTTTCAAACTCAAAATCTTTTGGAAACATTGCAAAGTAAGCAAAGCATTTTTTCAGATGTGGAGATGGTAGATAATCATAGCTGAGTTTTAGGATTTTCTTTATGCTATTTTCTCCGTTATCATCTTCACCTGCAACAAGGGTGTTTCCATCAAGAATTGTCTGCCATTCATGTTTTTCCTTGTTGCGTAAGAGGCCTCCCAACACACTTGCAGCCAATGGTAGACCTTGACACATTTCCACAATCCTGTTCTCCATGATCACTATTTCCTCTGGAACTTCCACATCAACAAATGCTATTTGTTTGAAAATGGACCAACAATGATCTTTTGCTAATTTTTCCAACCTATGAGGAGCTACTGCTGCTACTGTGGACGCCACCTGTTCCATACGAGTAGTCACAAGAATGAAGTTTCCTCGGGATGTATTTATTCCTCGCAAGGTGTCGACAAACTCTACCCACAATGTAGAGTCAACACGCCATAAATCATCCAGAACAAGTAAATACTTTCTTCCTGCCAGTTCATCTTGTAGCGTCTTGACTATTATGTCTCTGCTTTGGACCTCAACTTTCCTCTTTGTCAGGGATTCGAGGATTAGTTGAAGAAAGCTCTTCGTTTCTGACATTTCAGGCAGACACAACCAAACTCTCTTTTCAAAGTGTTTCTCGATCTGTTCATCGTTGAAAATTCTCTTAGCCAAAGTTGTTTTTCCTAAACCCCCCATACCAGCTATGGGAATGGTGCACAGAACAACATCCTCTCTGATGTTCAACATCTTCCTCTTTATTTCTGCAACATCGTTGTCTCTACCAACAACCTCCGAAGGAACTACTACAGAATCTGTTTCTCGAATTGGTAGTATATGCTGAGGAGGAACCATGAGTGATTGGAGACTGAGGTCTTTGGCTAACTTATTGATAGCCCTCAACTTTTCATTGATGTTGTTGATTTTTCGAGACATTTTGCTCTTAAAAGTTGTATGAGAAATGAAATCACTGACCTTTTTCATTGGTTTGTTTCGGAAATTCACTTGTCTTTTGATAGATTCATACCTGAATTCGTCAAACACATTTTCAGCATTTTCAGCAGATCTCTCAAGCATCTTGAGCCATAGTTTCACAGCCTGATCGTCAACTTGTCGTCTTTCAGCATCATGAATGAAAGCTTGGATCAAGGATGCATTTTGTGTAAGCATTTCCAAATCTTTCTTGCAGTCCCTTGAGCTACTGAGTTCCTCAATAGTGAGAGAAAGCAATTTTTCGAGCAAAACTTGAATTGTAGCACCAATTACAGGATCGGCCATTGTTGTGTTTGCTCCTTCACAAAGTCTTGTTCCTCTGCACCAGTCTTCAAAGTTTGTGCACAAGTCTTCTTTTGCTAGTTGTTGTGGACCACTAGAAGGAAGACAA